CCATAAGAAAATGGTAATCTACTGGAAGATGATATAGGAGGGTGAAAGGAGCTTTATTTTGAAGAATAGGAGAAGGGGTTCGATTTATCAGGTAAGTAGAGGTTAGAACACAATCTCCCCAGAATGAGATAGGAACTTGTGACTGAAAGAAGAGAGCTCTTGCTACATTAAATAAATGTTGATGCTTTCATTCAACAACTGAATTCTGTTCAGGACATTTAGGGCAAGAAAATTGATGAAGTATGCCCCTTTTACTGAAAAATTTTGTGAAGCGCAATTCAGGTGCATTATCAGACCTAAAAGCTTTAATGGTTTTGTGAAATTGGGTCTCAATAAGACCAAAGAACTTGGGAATTAGATCAAGCACATCAGACTTTTGCTTCATCAGATAAACCCAAGTAAATCTAGTATTGTCATCAACAATTGTAAGGAAATACTTGTGACCATTACGAGTGGGAATACTATAAGGACCCCATACATCACAATGGATGAGATCAAAGGATTCTGCTGATAAGTGATTATTTGAAGCAAAAGACAGACGTCGTTGTTTAGCTAAAGGGCAGATATAACAAGGAGCAATGCCATTTCTATTACTCTTAAAATGCAGCTGATCCTTTAACATATCTAATCTCTTAAAAGATAAATGTCACAATCTATGGTGTCAAACATCAAATGTCACCTTATTTATTACAGAACAAACATGACTAACAGACTTAAAGAAATTACAATCAACTTTCATTACATCAGTTTCAGCCTCAATAACGTAAAGTCCATTAACCATATCAGCCTTGCCAATCATCCTCCAACTGTCCTGATCCTGAATAGCACAATGATCAGTGAAAAATCGAACACTTATATCTGAGTCCTTAGTCAAAGAGCTAATAGATAACAGATTAAACTTGAACTGAGGAACAAACAGCACATTGTGAAGGATCAGTTCTGAATTGAGCTCAACAATACCAATAAAATGAACAGATATACTCATGTTATTTGGCAACATGATATAGGCACCTTGTACTGATTTTAATGTTTTGAAAGACTCTCGAGTGAAACAAACATGACTAGTTGCTCCTGAATCTAGAATCCAGTGTTTTGCAGAATTGAGCACCTCATTACTCGAAATAGATAAGCAGATACCTAATGCATTGTCTAATTTAACAGGATCATCTCCTAATTTTGCAGCAGCAAGATGAGTGCTCAACATACTCATCAGGTTTTTGTACTGTCCAGGATTCAGAGTTTACACAAAATCATCAACAGTATCAGCAGATTTGCCTGTAAATGAATCAGAAATTTGGTTAGTCATAGCATTTGACTTATAACCAGATTGATTATTCCTTTGATTAGCTTTGTATCCAGGTGGATAACCATGAAGCTTATAGCACTTAGTGGATAACCATGAAGCTTATAGCACTTATCAACTACATTACCCCTATATCCACAATAAGTGCAAATAGGTCTATCCCTCTTCTGATTTTTGTTATAGGACTGCCCCACTATTGGCTTTCTACTGTCATTTTTGGCATAAAAGGCTAATGAATCAGTCGTTCCAGCAGTTAGATTCACTCCTCGTTGTTGTTCCTCTTGAGAGATTAGAGAGAACACTTTATTGATTGGGGGAATTGGATCCATAAGCAATATTTGCCCTCTTACTTGAGAATAAGATTCATTTAGACCCATTAGAAAAGACATAACATACTCCATATGGTAATGCTCCATTAATTTCTTGCTTCCCTCACAGATACACTTTCCACATGAGATCTCGCAATAGCTGAAAGATTCGAGGTCCATTCTTCTGCTGAAATCGCTCCTTCAGATCAGTCCAGATTTCATATGCAGACTCAGAGTAGATTATGCTTGCAGAAATATCTTTTGAGACTGAATTGAGGATCCAAGAGATAACCATATTGTTATTACGGATCCAGGAATTGAGAAATTCAGAATTAATTTCAGGTCTAGTGATGGAACCATCTATGAATCCGACCTTGTTCTTCACAGACAAATCTATGAACATATCACGGCTCCAGGAAATGTAATTCTCACCAGTAAACTGCTGCGAAACAAGTATGAGACCGGGATTATCAGAATGATGAAGAAAATATAGATTGGAACCATCTTCAGTGGCGGAATGGCTCATCGAAGATGTGGAAATATGAATAGGATCAATTGAATCAGTTGCCATGATCAATCAGTAAAAAAAATGCGAAGCTGAGAAGCTACTTCTCTGATACCATATTGCGGAAAAGGAGAAGATTGAGAGAGAAAATGTTATTCAATTCAATCAATAAATGGTGATACAACCAGTATAAATAGCAGCTGAAAATGGAAAAGGCAGGAAGGTAAGAAAAGGG